GAAATTAAGGGCTGAAAATGCCTGTTTTCTTAACCAGCTGTGGAGGGATTCCATGCTGCTAAATTCTAATCCTATAGCTGGAGTTGTCTATTACCATGTACCTCAGGACACGCCAGTGTCCAGAGTGGGATCTGCTGAAGTATATTGCAGGTATTCTCCTACTTTCTGTGGTGCCTAAGTACCTGGAGTGGTAATATGGAAGCTACGCATTTTGCCTCAGTGTGAAGCTGTGATGCTGCTGAGGCCTACACCCAGACTGAGGATCCAAAAATTGCTGCTGGGTCTGCTGACAGACGTACAACCTTAGACTAGTCCATAGCTGATGGTCGATAAAATCAGATATGAAGAATCCTTTCCTTCCCCCTTCCCCAGTATTGTTAGAGGTCTTGGCTTTCCCATCAATGTGGACCTGTAACCAGTCACTCAAGCTTTGCTGTTTACAGGCAGCTGCCTTATAGAAGCATCCTGTATTGCTGCCCCAACAACCTAGACTGATACATTCATATGACTGGCAGATGGGAGATAAAAGCAGGAAGAAAATATAGGAAATCTTTTCCAATATATAAAATATTAGGTTTTAACTAAAGAAAGTACACAAAATGGTCACTATCTGTATGAAGGTAAACCTTTTTGGTCCTTGTATTTTACTTTCTTTCTAGCCACTAGTAATACACATAAAAGTCCATAAAGTGTCAATTTCTGTCTATTACAACAAAAGTAAAATGTATGAGATATTTGGCTTGGGAAATCAGCTTTCAGTTTGCTGTAACCTACTATTTGTTATAAGTGGAGTTCAGCATTGCACACTCCTGTTGTGAGTCCACAACATATTTGTGCACTGGCGTTCAGCAAAATAAAAATAGCTGCAAAAGTCTGGAAAGAACTAATTGTCAGTAAAGTATAACACATATTTTTCTTTGGAGAGAGAGAATGACTGTTTGCAATTAATTCAGAAATTATCAAAGATCTAATTTCTCTGTTGGCATCTACACTTGTGCCCAACTAACTTTGTTGCTGAAGATATTTTACAGTCTGTAGTCACTTGCACAAAAGGACCCTCTAATTCTCTAGGGGTAAAGGAACTGGTGATATATTACAAAATCCATTTTTTATGGAAACTTAGAACTTGTTGGTTGTACTAATATTAGCAATGCAAGAATTCATCACAGTGTAACACTTTTCAGGCACACAGTCAGTCATCGTTGTTACTGTCATGTTACTTGGAAACATCTAAATGAGCATGGTTTATGCACTTCAAGTGGGGGCACGAGCCCTGCTGCTGATTTTCAAACCATATTTTTTCTTTTAATATCATGTCAAAATGCTAAAGTGCAGAGGATGTTTATATAGTCACTATCTTTCTTTAGCATTAACAAGAACATTAAGAATTCACTTTTCCTTCCGCACAGATTCATGCACAGGCACGTGAAATGAAATGTGATCTATCTTTCAGCTGAAAGAGCAGTGTTGATGTATTTCCTGCTTAGATTCATCTTCCAGAGGCTGATAATACAAACTTTCTGTATATTGAAAAAAAACACCATGTCTTTATTGAGCAGAAGCTAAAACATCAAACAGAAAGAAGAGGATTTTAATCCAGATTTACAAGGGGAAATTGCCATTGAATAAAACTTGTTCAGCCTCCGAAATGAATTATTTTTGTTGGAGACTAGCCATCCTTCTAAGTACCTGATGATACCATGACAATAGGTATGATTAGAAGTATGATTAGAACTATCTATCAATATATTTTATAGACCAAAATCTCCTTTGTGCACATTTGATTCATAGCACCTAACTCCAAAGCCAAATCTACAAATTGGATGTCTGTCCTAATCATCCAGATTCTCTTCACACTCAGTGGGGAGAAACGGGTAATTCAGAGGGTAATTCAGATTCTTGTCATCTCCAAATGAGTATCTTATGCAAGGTCTGGATATCCCTAATTCTCTCCATCAATTAATAAAGGAATGAAGTGATAGGTCAGACTTGGATAGCAACATTAGAAACATGAAAAACAAGGACAAATAAATTCCACTTCATCTTAGTCTGGTTTGATGTGGCACAGATGTGCAAACTTTATCCTTCACATCTTGCTTTTCTTTACTCTAATAGCCAAGCTCAGGAATCACTTAATGCCTCAATGTTCAACAGCTGAAGACCCATGACTATGCCATTTCTTCATCTAACTGTGTGCAAACAAGGCTAGTAAACAGGAGTGGATTCTGCCTACACATTTTGTTTTCCCCATCTCTGTAATAGGGATACATAATCCCATTCATACCCCTAAGACATTCCTGGAAATGAGATAATGACTCTCAGTGGGTCTTCACTCCGATCAGGTTAAGGAAGTTCAACCAGTACTAACGAGTACATTTTTAGAAGATGTTCCAGCAAGCACTGTGTTCAATGAGACAGGCAACACATCACTATTCAGGCAAGGCAAACCCTGCATGGTAATCAAGACTGCGCATTTTTTTTGGACGACTAATTAAGGTAGAGAGCTGTCTTTCCCGTTACTGTTGGAAGACAGTCTTTCCTTGCTCATACTAAGCAGGGTCTGAACAGCAGGCAGACCTGTTCCACCTGAAGACAGAGGCAGCCACTACACCAAAGCCCTTTCTTAGTAACCGCCTCACGCACGTCAGGAATGCAATGCATCAGACACCGCAGCATGCACAACCATTCAGCTGGGGGATGGAATAATATCGCCGTTTTTAAGAACAGGACTCTGGCAGGTCTCCCAGGAGGGTTCTGACAGCCACCATCATTCATCCACCTTTGCCACCTGAAACTGGTATTAACCATGAGGGGAAAAGTGTTCACACAGACTTAAACTTACTTAGATATTGCTGTGACACAGAAACTGAGAATAAACAAAACCTGACACTGAGCAAACACCTATTTTTGGAGAACCAAACAAATCCTAAATCTGACACCAAATGACCACAACAAATGTTGCAAAACTATATTTATCCATCATGAGTATTGTATCCAGGCAGCTAATAAGAAATAGGACTCTGTTTAAACACACAAAACCTAAAACCGGAGGAGCTGTACACCTTGTGTTTTACAGGAGTTATCTGCTGATTAACATCACACAGGGTGAAATGGCACATCCAACAGCACAGCGTCTAAGGGTTGTGGGGGGAGCAGCCTGTGGGAAGTCAGTGGGCTTCTAAAACACCTGCACAAGCCTGTCATCTTCACTGTTAAGAGTGTGACCAATACCTCCCCAGCTATGAAGTCTTTTACGGGCTCATTTTTTTTTTCCCTACAGCCTTCTGTGCAGAAGGTGTTTGAAAAATTCACCTCGATATTTTAAATCCTCTGCGATTTATACCTACTGGATTTTATTCTAGGGCCTCTTGAGAAATAAAATGTTGAGAATACACATCCTGTCTCAGGAAAATTGTGCTATCACTGCATATATTTAACATTTCCAGATTCTGAACTAAATGGATTCTAGCAAAACTGAAACATAAGCTCCACTTTCAGGAGTGGCCCAGAGGATTCTCTGGGCAATTCAGATCAATGTCTTCATAGTATGTCGCCATGTTAATTTCAGTCTTTTATAGCTAAAATGCAAAGCAGATTAATTTTTTTTTTTAATCATATTTTCTAATTCATGAAGTTTTTGAACACTGGGAAGGAATTTTTCACAACAGTTTTGTTAGGTTACTACTGCATTTTTTTATTGTAACAAAATTATTACACAATGGAATAAAAAAAATATTTAAAATATGACAGAATGGACACTCAAAATACATCCCATTTTATTCCTAAAAATATGTTTCAGGGTCTTTTGCTCAGGGAAATTGAGACTTTATTTACTTTTATTTTAAGGAAAGCAGGAGGGTAGATAAAAGAACGTTTTTCTACAAAGTGTGACACAATGTATTCCCCTCCCCAGGGTAAAGAGCATGGAAAGTTTCCTTTTCCAGACTGGGTGCATGCTCATCCACTTATCTATGCAGCCACTATACTGTACTTGAATGTAAATCACTTCCAAAATGCCACAGCCAATTTCTCTGTTGCCTTTCTCCATAGTATGCATGTGCATTATGTATTATATGGTTAATAGTGCATCAGCTCCCCTGTGGAAAACCAAGCAAACTTCCACATCCTGCTGAAAGAAAATGTGGAATTATTTTATCCACGTCCAGCCGGGTCAGCCTGCAGCATGTTCTCGGGGGGAATTCCAGCTGGATGAAGGCAGCACTGTGCTGTGTGCGGTGGATACAGAGGTACTCGAGGCAGCTCGAGCGCAGGAGGTAGTGTGGCTATATCAGCACGGTGCTCTCTGTAGACTAATTAGTCCTGATAAGAAGCAGGATGTAACAGTCCCAGCTAAATGCTTTGAGGTACTCCACAAGTGAGATGATGCACATCTGCGTGGTTCCTGCCTTCCTCTTGGGCTGCGCTGAACCCTGCTGAGAAGACCTTCTGCCTGAAACCCAGGGACCTCTAACATTCACAAGCTGGAAAGCATAAGGGAATCTACTTTATCAAGCTCCCAGGGAGAAGCTTAGTGGTTTGTTCAAGATCGGACAGCAAGACAGGGGCAATCCTAGGGAGAGAGCCCAGGAAGGCCCGGGAGCTTGTTTCCATTGCTCCAGCGCTGCTGTTGCAAGGCACAGGCCCCAGAGCCGAACGCCACCGTGGTGTTTGCATTACTGCACATGCATATCTGGTGTCTGAGACCATGGGGATGCTTATGTCAGCTTTTAGCTCACTGAGGGATTGCATACGCTCCTTTCTGGGGGTGAGACATCATCCTTGAAGCAGGAGAAAAATACTGGAAAGAACCAGCAGCTCTGGGCGCTGGGCAGAATTTAATCAGCCAGAATGCAAAAGTACAGAAAGAACTGCTAGCATTTTAGCCTACAAGACACACACAAAGTAAAGAAGGTGAAGATGAAACTTAAAGAAGTGCTTTGCCCAGCATTGTACAAAGACAAATGGGAATGAAGGTGAAGAATAAGAATACCAGAGCTTACACCATGTTGCATTGTCCTCCAGATAGTCCTCTGGGAAGCAAGAGGGAAACAGATTCAGGAACAGAAAAACAAAACAAAACAAAACAAAATAAACCACAGGTTATACCAAACAGGCAACCACAGAGAAGATAACGAGTCTTTATAAGCAGTTGATTTTAAATGAGAAATCCTAGATCGTGCTCTACGGAAGCAGCTGAGCTCAGTGGTTAAATTTATTTAGTTTCTGACAATATGTATCTTACTGAAGTTCAGATGTAATTGCTAGATGCCTAGCCTAAGGTTGCTATTTTTTGGCACTTTGTTGTAGAGGGATAGGAAATGATTCCTCTGAGCTGTTTAAATGTATACTTTAGGATGAGATGAATCGTGCTTTAGAAATGTTTGATCTCAATTTGGTTGCCTAAACCTATATTTAGACAACTGAACAAAGACCTTTATTTCTCTCTGTTAACAATAAAAACTACAGTCATCTAGACTTCAAATCTAGATAGCTGGTTATAGGTATCTACACTATGGATACCTATATTGAATCAGGAAAGTCCTCATTTTTGCTTCTGTTACAGTCAGTAGAGAAACAGGATGGGATCCAGTTACCTAAATATGGGCATAGAAAGTGAATTTAGTAGCTCTGAGGTATTCCATCTTACTTCCAGCCAGGTTTCCCCTAACTTCGCTTTCACATTTGGACATCTTGAAGACTATAGGCATCTCAAATAGCATTAGGTGACTATGTTTATGTAGCTGAATTCCACCCCGAGGGACCTGCAGAAAAAAGCTGGGGCTCAGTTCTGTTCTACATCTTTGATGCCACATAACAGGCATGTTCTAGGGTGTCCTACCCGGCCTTCAACTGCTAGTCCAAGAGGGCATGGGCATCCCAAAGGATTGCCCTATCTGCCAGCCCAATTGGATGTCTTATATACTCTGAGGCATCTCAGTGTTGCATATCTACATGTAGATATCTTGGTTGAGCCTTTAATTTCCCAGTCTGTAAGAGGTGTCTGTGCCAGATGGGGTGAATCACTCTCCAAAGATGTGTGTCTCTCTCCATTGACTTCAGAAAGAGCCTGACTTTTAGGCCCTGTGCTGCGAAGATGTGATTGGATTCCCTGAGCATAGTTATCTTGAATAGCTCGAGATGCTGCAGTGTATTCTACTTGCCTGCTCTAGAATTATATTGGTCTCCTCTAGTCCTGTGCCACATCTACCAGTCCCATGTTTGAGGTACTCTGGGGTGTCTCAGATGTGTGCTTTACATCTATGCTTAGAGAACTCTCTCAAGCTCTATGTGTTTTCTTAAATAAATCTGATGTGTTTTAAACCATCTGTACCACTTCTTTTGGGGTATATTTAATTTTTTTGGGGTCACATTCCTCACAATTTATTTTGATCTATTTCTTGCTTATTAAGCCTTACTGGTTACAGCTATGACGATAACACAGGGAAACTGCTCTCCTCCTTGGAACGGAATAGCTGCATTAATCACACAAGTTCAGGCAAGGATGAAGGAGCACTTTCTCAGAAGGGCTCAGTAGCCGGTGATTTCAGTGTAGGCTTCTTATGAGGGCTGCTTTGTGCAACATACCTGATAAAATATGCTCACCTGGATTAAGTTTATAAATATGAGCAGGTTTCATAGGTTGGATATGATCAGGAGTAAAAAAAATTCGTTCAGATATGCTACTTGTTTGTATAAGACTGAGATGCAGAGGAAATATTTTTTAAACTTGGTCTCTTCTGCGGATATGCTGTCCAAGACAGGTGAAAGCACAATTCTTTGTCATTTCTTTTGAGGTTTACATAGCTGCATGTTTGGACTTTGCAATGACAGCTTAAAGTTAAGTGGTCTGACAGTGCTTTATGAATACAAACTTCAGAACAGACTTCTAAAAGCACTAATGTAAGACTGAATAATCAGCTGCCTCACAAGGAAAGATTTGTTTCTTATACCTATAATAATCAAAAGGGCCTTTAACTGCTTGACACGACTATCAAAATACTAATATGGCTGTATGTTTTTATTAAGCAAGCAATAGAAAATGATCAGTGTGCAGACTGCAAAACTGCTGTGAGTGGGATTCTCCTTATGTCCTGTTGGCACTGCAAGGGTTAGGAGGATCTAACTGAAGCTGGTCCTCCGGGCTCTGTCTATAGTTAATGAAGAGAGATACGTGATTCAGGGAATGATTCCGCACATTAAACACTAAGGATCTAACGTAGAGAGGTTGAATGGTGTTCCTGCGAGGCAGGAGTGCAGCATTTATATCCTTCTGGATAAAATTACCCATGTTGGTGTGAGATGCAGGCAGTGACCTTTCCCAAGTGCTGCTAAGGGATTATAGCTCTGAAACAAGGCCTTCTGCTCTAATCCACGTAAACAGCCTTTCCTTGCTCCAGCTGAGGTCAGCGGCCATCTCTAACTCGAGGGATTGTTGATCTCAACCCAAAAGGAGATAACACGTGCATCACTGCCATTTGCAGACGGATTTGATACCAACTCTTATCGTTAACAGGCCATGAATAGTTATTATTTTAAATATCACCAGCAAGAAAAACAAATAGGTATGTGGGTTGAACGCTTTTTAAAGTAACAGAAGCAATGCTAAGCTCTTTGTTTTTTTTCTGAAATAATGTGTGAACAAACCTAGCTAAATCATATGGAGAAAAGTTACCTTTAGAAGATCTACAAGTTACTATGCGTTATAAAGGATTATATGCATTGGCAATTTTTGTTAGTTACAGCCTTTAAAGGCCAGCAGCATGTGACACGTCTCTGTTTTATTCAGGATACAGCTTATTATTTTGAAACCTTGTAGTTTAAAAAAGATATTAATGTGTTTAGAAGTATTCTCATTATGTGAATATGGAATATCTCTTCAACCTGCCTTTTTCATTGCACAAATGCTTGAACTGTCCTCACAACATAAGAGTAATCAAAGACGAACTGTGCTACCAGCCATCCTTTTTGTATGTTTCCTCCCACTTCCTCCGTTTGCAGCTTTTAGCTCTGTCTGGAGCATGACTGAAACCTACAGGCTTTGGGGACCTTTCACTTTACCTCGACCAATTCTAGATCGAGATCCAGGCACCTGCACTGAGTAATACACAAGGGCTGGTTCTTTCAATCTAAAGTGAAAGGGTAAAATTAAGAACCTGTCAAATATGGATTGAGCATTACCAGCCAGGTTTTTAGCCTGAGGTGCTACACTGAGTTATGAATCTGCTGTGGTAGAAAGACCTAAGTCCAGTGGAGTTAAACATCTTCTTTTCTGTTTCTTCTTTTATTATAACCAGACTACACTGTTTCCAGAAGAGCAGAGAACTAACAAACATTGCTTTTTGCTGCAGGGTAATGCCATGTCCTGACTAGAAATGCTGTTGTATTTTTGTTAGTGGAATTGCAATGAAGACTGACAGAATACAGTACATAGATAGAATACAGCATAGATAGAGGTGACTGGAAAGACTTGGCATTGTGGAAGACTACTGTGATCATCAAAGACATCTGCTGAATGGTGGTGCCAAGGAGATACCCAGGTCCTTATCTGAATTAGTACACTTGGGTTCCTGCTCAGCAGTTTAAGCTGCATATCAGAGAAACCTCTAAACGTTTTAGGCTCATGATCAGAACCACGGCAAGACATTTTGGTGCCCTAGAGCAGCCAGCACCTGCAGGGTACCCAGCAGGAGTGCAGCTTACCGAAACCTCATACCTCCAACTAACAGTGGCTGTTCCCAGCTGGACGCTTCTCTCCCCTCACTCTTGCTGTGGCCCTGAGCACGGCTCTCTTCGGCAAGACAGACCAATGCTGGGCAAGTGTTCAGCAATGAGCTCGGCAAGTGGAGGGTATGAGATATGGTCTGTTTTAATTCAGATGCTTTACAACTCTTTAATTTTGCTCATTGGCCTTACCTCGAGGTGATTGCTGAGACAGTACTAGCAGCTATAATAATTGGCCCACTATAAATCTATAGATGTATAAATAGTAGGGACATTGAAGTCTGAAATGTGAATCCAATGACTGGTAGTAAAGAAAACAATCTTATGTTAAAGTACTTCTTTTCAAAATGATTGAATAAATAAAGCAAGATTAATGATCATTGAAGTTTTAACTGATACAAGTCAATTTTTGAGAGGCATGGAAATAAAGCAGTGGTAATTTTATAATTAAGTAAAGAAGTGGAACAAATCAACGTGCCTTTGCAAGCATATATGTTAAAGAACTAGCTGCTAAAAATTGCTTTAATACATAAAAAAGTTTTAATCAAATAAAAAAAAAAAATTACTGTAGATCACTTTTCAAAGAGAATTGATACTGCAAAGTACCTATTGTGGCTCATCTGATTTTAGCCTGCAGGAAAGAGCTTATTCACTTCTAATATTTCTAATGCATAAAAAACGAGTCATATTGTTCTCCTGCAATGCAATTTGGTACCATTTCCAATGGAGAAAAAAAAGATTTATAGAATGCTGGAACAGCTGACATAGAAACTATATAGAGATATTACGAAATTATTAAAAAAACATTGTCAGGAGATTACCACTCTTCTGCTATACTACCAAACCGTATCTACTAATTTGAAAATGGAATATATTTTGCCTTACCAGCCTATCCAAACTTGTGCCAGCAGCAGTTGTAGGTCGCTCCTCCGGGTTATATGGTCTAAACCGTGTATTGAAGTTTTCAGGGACAGAACGGGAGGATCTCAGGGCAGGTGCTGGTTTAGGTTGGCCACATCCTTGGAAAACCTGAAAAAGACATTGTAGGTTATATGAAAATCATTAAAAAAGGGAAGCTGGTATTTTATAGCCTCTTTATTCTCTCTTTCATATATTTGAAACCAGGTTTTATTGACATTTTGACAATAGTTAATTGAGCACTTGCCCTGCATTAAAGATCAGTTTAATAATTAAGCATTATTAATTACTTAGTGAAGGTATAAAAACATATAGAGACCTTAAAACCCCGTTAATTTAGAAAGATGATTATTGTAAGAAGTTAACCTCTGAAAGCATTAATTGCTCTCTTTCCAGGAAGAGAAATGAGCAAAAAGAAGTCCTTTGTGGAAGGACTTAGTTGATAATTGTTTTAGTTTTTGTTAAAATGTGGTATTTACCCAGAATCACAGCTCATTCATAATCCCTACTCATAGCTCTTCCTGCCTTGTAATTTCATTTGTAGTCTCAGAGAAAAGGTCAATGATGAAATAGCCTTATAACTGGATTACTTACTTATTCCCTACCAACATCTCCCTAGAAGAGGAGCAAGGCATATTGAGTGGGCAATAGTGAGAATTATTTTCTGCTAGTGTGTTTGTTTTCTAGGTATAAAAAATAATGCTCAGGGTTATGAAATTTTTCATAGACTTCAATTTGGAAAAAAGTTTCAGTAGCATTTATCTTGTGGATACTAAAGGACATAGAGGACACTTTTGACTACTGAATATGAAGTATATATCCCAGAGGAACTCTCACAGAAGTTGCTCAGCTGAAAGGAGGTAGAATATTCACAGAGTTAAATTTCTCAAGTGCTCTGATGAAGTAGGATCCTAGTGTTTGCCTTCATACCAACTTTTTCAGTTCTGGAATCATCTTTCTTTTTTTTTATGAACATTGTGTTTTGGCTGTTTCAACATTTTGCCTCCACTCAGAAGAAAAAAAAATTAAATGTCAGAATTTCTTTTAAGATATATTTTACAAAACCCTAATGCCAAGCGCATCTGTCTGAATGAGGTTTATGGAGGTGAAAACTCTTATGCAGGTGCTGTGTTTTGTTTGTGGGACCAGATTATTCCTTTTTGTGTGGCAAATAAGATAACAGCTGTGTTGTGAGCCAGCGATCAAAAAGACTCATGTTTCAGACTTTTAGATTTTCTGCCTTGAGTGGTTCCCTCTGCAGTAGCCACGGATGTTGTGACTTTTGTTGCTTTCAGGATACATTACAATTGGCTCTTAGTTAGGTTTCCCGATGTTAATTTAGAGGCCCCAAATGATTCAAAATTTGCTGAAAGAAACTGATACATACTAAATTTATGTCCAATCATCAGGTCTGTTTTGGCTCAAAGTCCAGCAAGTCAGCTGTTGTACAGCCATTGGGATTTTTAATTTATGAGTGGAATACTGCTTGGTCTGGTTTGAGAATATCTGTAAGATTTTTTAAATAATCTCTAGCTTCCCTAGTCAGGAGGACTATTGGACAATACATTAAGAAAATCAAACAGGAAAGATGATTTTTAGCTTGTAAAGTTCTAAATTCTTCAGCA